CTAGTTCCACGAGTTCCACGGGCACTTCCGGGTCTACAGGTTCTAGAGGGTCTTTTAGTCAAATGGCAGGCTCGCAGTTCAGCCCCATGACCCCACGAGAGCGGGAGCTCAGAGAGATCCAACAGGTCGAGAGGCTCCGCCAGCAGTTAGAGGAGGATCTGAAGAAAGCAATCTATAGAGAAAAAGAGATAAAAAGTAGAGCAGCCAGACTTGATACGTTAGAGGCTAAGAAGGCTGCGTTAGAGGGATTGGACGAATCAAGTTTGTCTGACCCCCTGAAAGTGTTGAGGGACAACATGTTGTCACTGCATGCACATGTGGACAACAGGATGGACTTCATGCAAAGCACTTTGGACCAGATCCTAGATGCATTGACAAAACCAGGATTCCGGCCACCAGCACAATCGCCGTTGCCGTTAACGGCAATGTCAGGCCCCTTTGCCGTACAAGTTGGCACACAGCCAAGTGGTACGTCTGCAGCAGCGGCACAGACTGTTGCATCTTCTTCTTCGGGTCCAGTGGTGATTGCTACATCACCACAACAACCTGTTCAGCAATCTGGACAGCAACAAGGTCAATGGTACCCCAAGACCCCAATGAAACCGCCTCTTGCCTTCTCAGGCGAGAGAAAGGACGAGGAACTCAACACATGGTTGAAGACGGTCCCGGTTTGGGCGAAGGCCAAACGGACCTTGCCAGAGGATGAGGTGGTAACTGCGGCATCTTACCTAGAGGGTAAAGCAGCCAAATGGTTAGATGGGGTAGTTGTGAAAGCCGGGTATGGGCGACGCATGGCAGATTGGGCTAAGTCTTTGACTCTAGACCAATTCATGGAGATGGTAGAAGCTCGATGGCATAACCCACAGGAGGCTCATAGGGCCACTGATGCCATTAATAAACTGGACCAACGCAAGTCCAGGTCAGTTAGGGAGCTTACGACTACCGTCGAAAGCCTGATCCTCGTCCCAGGCATCAACTACAGTGACCAGTTCCTCTTAACCACGTTTGTTAGATGTCTACCTGAGAACATGAGGAACTTACTAGCCAGTGAGGCACGCACTGAGTACCACTCATTTGAGACATTGTCTAGGAAAGCCTTAGACTTACAGGCCACACTAGGCAATGCTCAACCCACCTGAGGGAATGACTCAAAGAAGAAGAAGAGTCCTCAGGAGTGGAAGAAGAAAGGGGCAAAGTTGATGATGGTTGAGTCTGATGGGACTCAAACTGAGATCGATGAGCTCTCTGACCTGATGGACTACTCAGAGTATGACGGCGAGGAGGTAGCTGAGGGTAGCACCCTCGCCGCGGTAGTAAAGACTAAGGCAGGTGGCCGAGGGAAGGGCCAACCTAGGAGTCAAGGGAAGGCCGCCTCCAATCAGTCCAAACAGGCTGAGTGGGTCAAGGCAGGTCTTGACCAGGACGTGTGGCGTGACCGCCGAATGCGTGGCGCTTGTATCAACTGCGGTGAATACGGACACACGCAGTGGAAGTGCCCGAACGCTAAGGTTCTGCAAAAGGTTGCACCAAAGGTTGGGGCAACTATTTCCCAGGCTTCTAGCTCGGGAAACGCGTAGGGTCAGTGGAAGTGATAGCGGCTTCTACTCAAGATGAAGTGGGAATGATACCCTCCTCACTTCATGACAAGGCCGAAGCTAATGACTCCTTAGCTACCCCGCAGACGCATCTAGACCAAACTATGCTCTGTACGTTAGATGTGTCTGAGGCCTTAGAAGACTTAGAAGGCGAGTGGTCAAACAAGGACCCTCGTGAGTCTTGGGCGGCGCTAAAGAAGGGTCCTCGAGGGGAACATGTCATTGTGGAAGTGGATGTAGGAGGCCGCAAATGTGGTGCCTTCATAGACACAGGCTCCACGCGAAATTACATAAGTCGCGACTGTTTGGAAAGGCTGCACCTACAGGACCGGGTACGGCACCTTAGTAGACCAGTAGCATCTACTTTGGCCAACAAGGAGCGCATGATTGTCACAGACTACCTCAAGGACGTAGTCTATACCTTCTCCTATGGAGGAGGTGAGCTTAACCATAAGATCTCGTTCTTGGTTAGTAACGACTTGCCATTTGACATGTTGCAGTTTGACTGGGATAAGAAGGTGCTCAAACAGAAGTTGCCCGATGGCCGAACTGTCAGAATGACTAAGTTCAAGGCCAGCAGTATTGTAGATACATATGGCTGCTTGTGTGCATCAGCGTTCTACAATTATTACAAGCAAAACCAAGAGGAGGGTATGTACCTTGTTTATGTCTCTGAGAAGGGGGAGACCGTTAAAACACCCCCAGAGATAGAACGCGTCGTTGCTAAGTTCCCTGATCTGTTCGAG